GGGAGGTGAGCTAAGATAAGACTTCAGCTCGTCAAATGCAGCTTGACATTCTGAATTCCATGCAAACTTCTTTTGTTTGCCAGATTCATCCTTCTAATCTGCCAATCTCATGATCTTGAAGAATGGCAAGCATTTATCTGCTGATTTCGAAATGAATCTATGAAGAGCTGCTACTCTCCTCGTCAACCTTTACACATCTTTCATTGACTTTGGTGGTTCCATCTCGGCTACTGCTTTGATCTTCTCAAGGTTGACCTTAATCCCCCTTCTGGACACCATGAAGCCTAGAAATTTTCCCGACTCTACCACGAAAATACACTTGCTGGATTTACCCTCATCATGTTCTTTCTGAGGTTGTTAAACGTCTCCTCGAGGTCGATTAAGTGATCTCCAACTTTCAAACTTTTCACCACTATATCATCAACATATACCTCCAGATTCCGACCTATTTGAGCTCGGAATACGATGGTAACCATCTTTTGGTAAGTGGCACCTGCATTCTTCAAGCCGAAGAGCATCATTACATAGGAATAGATTTCATCGCCAACATAGAACGAGGTTTTATCTGCATCCTCAAGAGCCATTGGAACCTGGTGGTAGCCAGAGTATGCATCCAAGAGACTTAATTTCTCGTTTCCAGAAGCTGCCTCAACCAGCTTGTCAATGTTTGGCATTGGGTAACAGTTTTTTGGACATGCGTCGTTGAGGTTAGTGTAATCGATGCACATCAGCCATTTACCGTTTGCTTTTTTTACCAGCACAGGATTGGCAGCCCATTCACAATAATCGACCCTCCTGACAAAGCCAGCTTGTAGGAGTTTCTCAACTTCTTCTTTAATGACCTGTAACCTCTCCCCCCCAAAGAGACAAATGTAACTGCACCAAACCAGAAGTCCTTCTTCAGTCCACGTCTTCACTTTGGATGAACCTGCAAAGTCCCGAGGTGGGTCCTCGAGGTAGACACTCCGATGCTTAAGTCAGCAATAATCGAGGCTACCTTTAGAGCAGAAGAAAAATGAGCTTAGGGTAGGTTTCAATCACCTTTTTGACATGGCCCTTAAGGGGTATTTATAGGTTCCAATGAGGAACCCACGTGGCATGCCAAGCAAGATACTCAGGATTTGATGTGTATCTCCAGACAGTTATTTCGGGACCGGAAAATTGAGCCAAGCAAGATATTCGGGATCTGATGTGTATTTCCATACGGTTATTTCGGGATCGGGAAATTGAGAGATATTTAGATGCGAGGATGTCCATCATAACTGCTGTGCAGCTGTTCGAGCGAGAAGCTCTGGATTTATTCTTCACTCTGGTTGTAAAGGAATTACTGTCGTACGTCCGAGGTTGGGCACCTCGGACCTGCCTTTACAACTATGTTTCCTGTTTCCGAGGAAACATAAATGTTCACATGAAAAACATATGGAAAATTTTAAGAGAAGTTTGTTTACT